TTTTTTCACTCAGACACTCAAATCCAGCACCAGACCATTTTCACGCTGCTATGGACAATATTGCAATAATGCACATTCTATGAACAATTTGCACTAATATTTCTTTTTGCACATTCGATGAATAATCAGCACTAATGTACATTCTCAAAATATTGAAGTGATTGTTATTTTGTATAAATTGATTGTTGTGTTTTTATTTAGGTCTTAATGTGTTCACATGTAANTTGCCAGGGGATAGCCTACGAGTACAACAGACTACCGTTTGGTTACTCCCTGTCCCCACGCACGTTCAGTGTACGCCCCCATCGAGAGCGAGGTGTACGCCCCCATCGAGGGAGAGGTGTACGCCCCCAGCGTACACCTCGCTCTCGATGGGGGCGTACACTGAACGTGCGTGGGGACAGGGAGTAACCAAACGGTAGTCTGTTGTACTCGTAGGCTATCCCCTGGCAACGTGCTTCAGAAAGTGTCTGAAGTCCCCTGTCTTCCTGGGAACCAGGAAGTACATGGAGAAAAAGCCCCTTTTCTCTGTCCTGAGAGTGCACGACAGACACAGCCTGTTTTTGCAACAGGGCTCTCGCTTTCAGTGGCTGTTGCCACGACGCCTCCACACACTGCCAGGTATCTGGCAACGGGGGCGAGGCGAAAGCAGGTTTGCGCCGGACCGTAAACGGCTTACCGGCTTCGGCGGCAGTGGTGGGGGGAGCGGTAGTCCGACACGTTCCGCCGCCATGGCCATCACCAGGGGGAAGTCCTGGCGGGCAGACATGTGCGGTGGACTTCCGCAGATTCTGGACCCGGAAGTGTCAGACACCAATGAGGCGAAGTCATCTTCTTCCTCCTCAGCAAACGCTGAGATGGTGAACGTTGGTGGCATCGCCTCGGCCATCTCCTGGTCTCCCACGTCCACCACCTCGAGCTCGTCTTCGGCGTGGTCTGGTCCCAGGCACTCGAAACAGAGCTGGTGGGGATCGGCGCCCGCTATTAAGCCGGGCATTAGAGACAGGCCCGGGTTTCCTGCAGTGGCGACTCCATTTGCTTGCCTGGAGGTAAGATACTTTTTACTTGTTTCGAATGCTTTTCTCAGGTGTTGTCCCGCTCGCTGAAGAGAAAAGGATGACTTATATACTGTGCAGCCTGCGTGCACATTCAGGTAGGCTCGCCCTGATTGGCCGGCTACATTTATGCAAATTCAGTGTGTGAACTCTCGCGTATCATTGATGAAGAGTAGTACCCATAGAGTCCAATAGAGGGCGGAGCCTGTGTGAGATAGAACAGGCTGGAAGTACGGGAGCGACTTTGCATCAAACTTTCTAAGGAGATTAATCTGCGTCCATTTTCTTTTTACGCAGTACGGTTTCCAGAGTTATCGCACGTGTCACCGTGGACAGCCCTAGTTTTGGTTTTAAGATCCCTGTTATAATGCAGACAGAACAGCAAGCTTAACTGAAATTTGCTTTAGAAAAAAAGTTATTGCAAAAAGACATTTTATTTGTATTTCATCTTGCCCTTCTGTGTCCCTTTATGTTTTGCTCTTGAAAGCACTTGCAATCGCATCTCATTATAGAAAATGTTCCCTATAAATAAAGCTTTATTTGATTTTTGCATAACAATCGGCACAACTTTGAAGAAGAGCCATATTTAAATACACATACACTTTTCAGAACATCACTTGCAATTTAAATAAAGAGAATCTGATTTGTGAAAGTGCTTTTGTAAATAGAGACTCGCTTAAGAAGTCCAATAATGTACCTATTGTTATGCTGCCACTCATTTTGTAAGACATTTATTATTCAAATACGAGATGTTTAATTATTCCAACAGTTATTTCAGGGCACAGTTTATTCTAACATTGGTAGTGTCTGTGCGTGTGAAGTGTGTTCTGTACTGTTATCACTATTGTTTTTCTGTGGATCTGTTTCAGAGCTGTCGTGACTACTTATCCTATCAAGGGATAAATGCTGAGACTGTATGGAACAACCTCATCCGCAGAGTTCCCCCGGTAAACATTCCCCTTTTCTCCGCTAAAGATACATTTACACATTTATGTTTATTTATTGTAGAGTACTTCTATTTGAGTTTGATTCTTTTTCATCATCCACTTATGGTGGCCGACAGGTGCAAACGCCCTACAACGGCCCAAAACATTTCCATTAAGAAAAACGCACTGCAGCTACAAAAACAATGCACATACACATATGTGCCTAAACAAATAAAGAAAAATCTTCACCAACTTGAAAACACATGTACGGCATTTAGAAAACATTCAACAACTTGACCAAAAATGCGCTGCATAAACGAAACACTGCAAATACAAAACGTTCGACAAGAAGATCTAAACACAGCGGAAACGGGGACAATAAAAAGTGACGCACACAGCTGGGACTGAAGTCACATAAAATGTCTGCTAAAAATCTGCTTATTTTAACAATGTGATCACATGATTCCTTCCTTCCAATATTATTGCAGATCTGCTGTCGGCTAGGTATTAGTCATTTTGAATATACCGGCAAAACCCCTTAAAACTATGAAACAGACTAACTGTGCGATCAGTAACAGTTGGCCAACTTTACAATCCCCAAACGTCAACAAGCGCTTCAGTCCCAGCTGGTTTCTGTTTTGTTTTGAGCTTTGTATTTGCAGGATTTTGTGTTTGCAGGGTTTTGTATATGCAGCACTTTTAGTAAACGCTGCACTTTTCAAGTTTTGGCACAACAAGGTTTTATAATTGCGTCGTTTTTGAAGCTGCAGCGTGTTTTGCCTAATATACGTGTTTTCGGGCGGTGCAGCACGTTTGCATCTGTCGGCCACCGTATACTCTTAAAAATAATATCTCTCTATATTGTATTAACCAATTCTATTTTCTTTTAGACAGCCTCAAAATCCATTGCTGCAGAGGATTTGAGTTTATCTGAAACTCAACAAAGCTCACTTGAAGAGTCTTCACAAAGCAGCGGTAGGACATTTACTTTAGTATCGATGACCCTCATGCAATATGGTTTACCTTTAAATGTATAGTATATTTCACACTAAATGTGTTACATTTTTGGAAGATGTTATAATTTAGTTATTAATAGGCTTCAAGAGGCGAAATCCTAGCCCTGCGTAATTATTTTACCTTAAAAATGTAATTTATAACCTTGATCATGCCAGAGAAGCAGTACGGAAGCCCATAGGGGACTTGATTAAATGATTATGAATGAAAATGATATTCCACAATAGCAATTTACTTTTCCTCGTATGTTAGTTTTTAGAGTAAAATGAAAATGTTACTTTCCAGTTTGCATTTTCATTTAACTTTATTGTACAGCAGTTTCTGTCTTTAATTACATTAATTATTAATTATTACTTTAATACGGCTTGGGCTCTTTTATGTTAAATTATTATTTATGTCAAATTTGATTTTAACATTTAAATATTGTCCACCGTACAGAAAGATAAGTCTTTGAATATGAAATGTGAAATGACATTTTGATTTTGAAATGGTCGTAAAATTGCAGTTCCATTTTGATTTTGACTTAAATATTGCTTGCAAATGGTAACAGTGTTGCATTCTCATCTCCAAATAAAAAAACACATTTAAACCTTGTCCTCTGTGACCTTGAAAATAAAATGTACAACTGCTTTAAAAGTCATACAAACTTGACATTGTATTTATATTTAAAATAGAATAACATTTACATATATGGGAAAGTGTAATACTATTGTGGATATTTTTTATATTAGAGTTAAAATATTCAATTTAATAAAGTCCTTATGGGCTTCTATAGTCTTCCTAATACTTCCATATATGTGTGTAGTTTACTGAGGTGCATTGCATGAGACAATATCACTGATATTGTATGGCATTGTTGTGACTGTGTGTAGGATTTGTTCCCATGGCCACTGAGAGCCGTCTGGCTCCTGTGCCTGGCCCTGTACCCCACAGCTATCCAGTGGACAAGGAACTCCAACTCCCAGAAGCCTTCACTTCCCCTGCCACACACTTCAGCCCCATCATCCTGACCGATGAAGGGTTTTCAGAGGCGGAGAGACAACACCTTGGGGCTTCCATTGAAGGGTATATATTACTGAAAAGTATATCCATTACAACCATACCACTCTGAATGACACTGAATAATCTGTTTTAAAAAGCAAATTTCTGGGTAAAAGTTAAATAATGTAATGTTAAAATGAGGCTGCAAGTCATTAGCAGACCACAGGAATATGGCTGCACCCCATTTATTTTCAACGGGACCCCAGAACCAAAGCCGGATTTGTAAGTTCATTGATTCTGGCCGATGGTTAGGGCCCCAACACTTTGACAAATTTATGTCAACAACATTTTTGAAAAAATCAACAGAAGGCCCTTTGTAAGTTTGGGGTATTTGGCCAACCCTAATCCCTAACTTTTGCCAGGAACATCCATATTTGTTCGGCGGGCATAGGGTTCATGCATTAGGTCTTTATGACAGCTGTTTGGCTGCTGACTGTTACCAGTGTTCTTTAAGACGTTTCAGCCCATTTTTATTTGATGAAAAGTCATTAGATTTTTGTTTTAGTAAAAATGTTTTCTCTCAACTTTGTCAGATATCTCTTTATTTAGTCCTTTGGAAAAAGTCCTTTTTAGTCATCAAACTAGATGTTAGAATTAGAAATTGCATTTCATCTAATCCTGGAAAAAAATAAGCTTAATAGGGTTGCTTATTTTTCAGGTTTGCGGATGCGTTCACAACCAGCAGTGAGGAAACAGGCCCTGATTTGACTTCACAGTTCCCAACTTGTATACAGACTGAACTAAATCTACATACGCAGGAGTCACCTGTTTATCAAGCCAGTGTAACTTCCAGCCAAGACATGCTGGTCAACTCTTCTTCTACTCTCCCTGATATTTCCTGTCTTGAAGTCTCTCTTCCCCCGCAGCTATCCGATCACCTCAGTGGTTGTGGTGTTTTCAACAACTATCTCTTCTGTCAGGATCCCATAACAGGACATCTTTCCTTAGTACCTGTGCAGGTTAGGGCTCCAGAGTCTCTCCTCGGGTTGGATATAAACCTCTCCATGGTTCCACAGCCTTTACAGGGACTAATCACACTTCCTAAAGGCAAAGATTGCCAATTTATGAACTGTGTTAATATGGCTTTGAGGCCTGGACCCCTGGATTATGGCCCACCGTCATCCTATTTCAATGGAAGCTCCATTATTTCTGACAGCCCACTGGAGCACAGTATTCTTAGAGCTTACAATGGACAAACAAATCCAGAAAGTGAGAAGCAGTCTCCTTTAAACTCTTCCCCCCTTAAAGTCCACCCTGCCCTACAGGAGGTGATTGACTTCCTCAAGGGAGAGTTTTCAATTGATGGGGATTTGGACAATGGACAAGAAGAGGACGTCACTATGGGTATGTATCTTTAGACATGTCATATCATTTAATTATTGTTTCATTAAGTGTATGTGTCATTAAAATGGCGGCTGCCAGCAAGTGACTAATAAACTACTAAATGTCATAATGCCAAAAGAAGTCTGCCTTTAGATTAGTGGTGGTGATGTGCAGCCTAGCGACCCTCATAAAGTTTGTTTATAGCATTTTGTTGACTTTTTATTGCTGCTGATGGCATTAAGGCTTCAAAAGTCACAAGGTAGTGTTAATATGTGGAAATTATCCTGCTGAACAAAACTTGTTTCATAAGTTAAGTTTCATAGTTTTCACGGGATGCTTTCTTCAAGGATGACCTACAAAAATACATTGTCACTGCACTACTTTAAATCCATTGTGTTTGGTAGTGTGGAGCATATTATGTGTGAGAACAGCTTTTTGCTTCTCTCTCATTGATTGACTTTTCGCTTCCCTGTTGTTTACCTTAGGTCTGGAGATTGCTTAAGTTGGTAATAGAATTACGACAGACTGTCTGTCTCTCTGTCTGTCTGTCTGTCTGAGCACTTTACATTAAGCAAACAGCTGTGTCCAGCTTCGCTAAATAAAGCTTGAACCGAGGGGGATCAATGAGCAAAAACAAACAGCCAAAAACATAATGATTTGACGATCAGTCAGTTATAGGCATGACTTGACCAGTATGATTCAATCATGTAAGTCAGGGTCACCACTTATATGTTAATCATCAGCAGTGACGTCAAACTAGAATGATTTGAACAGCAATCCACTAAAAGCTGCAGAGAATGCCCTATACCTAAAGGTTTAAAAGGTGACTGCTTTTCTTTTCTTCAGTGATACAACAAAACAAAGACCCACTCGATTATCCTGCTTTGACCTGTTAACACATTCATTTAGAAAATTGACTGTTTCTCTTTTCCGAGGGGAGTATATCTTCTCGTTGAAGGACCTCCAGTACCAGATGTTTGCCGGTGTTGTGAAGGAGAGGTTCAAGGATCTGTACTGGGAAGAAGACTTGCTGGGTGTACTGCACTGCCTGGTGAACTACAGCCCTTCCACACTGTGAGTAGGACCTCAGACACTTTCTTCCTTCATTTTGAACACTCATAGGAAGGTGGCAATGGCAGTTGTTGTTTTCGTCCAAGGCTCTCTTCAAAAAACTGTTTACTCAGACCCTTTCCCCGCTAGACAAACATCCAAGAATAGCACTAGCGCCTGGCTTTTCTTTGGAGAAAGGTTACAATTGTGAAAATGTTCATTCGCTGAAAATGACTCTCATGGGTATTTGTTCCACTTCAGATCCATTTTGCTCCTAAACTGAATATGTATTTCAATCAGTAGAGTGAAACGAATAAGGAAAGGTTGATGTTTGTTAGAACAGAAAGTTACGTCTTGATAGAAATGATTTTGCACTTAGATTTACCAGGAGATTTGTTATTGAGGAGCAGCTGCTCTGAAAGTGAAATCCACTCCATAAGCAAAGTGATTGATTCAAATAGGGACAAGACTTCACTTCATATGTAAGTTTTTACTCTGATGAATCAAAATGGCACAGTTATCCTGCATTATGTGTTGTACACATTTCCTGGTGTTAGAATATTTACCTTTAGATAGTCCCTTTCCTTTCGTGTGTTATATAGGTTGTTATAAATGTTGTTAAACGCCTCCATTGGACTCCTTTGTTTACTTCTGTAACATAGTGACATTACATTACATTACATGTTACTTGTTGGACGCTTTTATCCAAAGCGACTTACATACTCAATACTGTGGGCAATCCCCACAGGAGCAATTTGGGGTGAAGTGTCTCAGGGACACAACGACATGATGACTGCAGTGGGGTTTGAACCTGTGACCACCTGATCCGAACACCTACGCACAACCNGACAGAGGATACGGCAAGGGAACACCACAAATGAAGGACAGCAGATGATACGACACAGGAAATTCACAAATGAAGGACAGACCGAAGAAGGCGCAGGGAAATCACAATTACGACCGGAAAGACACCAGACTTATTGTAAAGGAAGAGAAATCTGTCAAAAGAACAATTCAAAAGAAAACCGGTCCGCAAAAGACGAATAGTGTTTTTATACTTTACATTATATGCTTTCTTCAGGTACAAAATAAAAAAAGGTGAGTCTGTGGAGTTTAGGTCGGTGGTCCTGGGTAACAGTGCGACGATACCTTGTTATAACCGTTATTACCAGTGCTAAGATCCTTGTTAAACCGCTTGATTCTCAAGACAAACGTGTAAGCTACTTATTAGTCGTCGCCGATTTACTGTAAGAGTTTCTCTACTGTCACTACAAACAATAATACATATTTTAACTGAACAACACAACAAACATCCAGAATTCCACAAGTGTCATTTTTTGACACGACTGACACATCGTTGACGTGCATAAACGTCGTGTATAAAATAATAACGTGTGATATAAACAGATGATAAACAAAAATAACCCTAACAGCCCTTTGTCACCATCCTAGGACGAGACAGACATGTGTGTTGACCTTCTAACTGTAATTTCACACTGAAACTTGAAATTGGTCCACAACTAGGTGTTCGGTCATGCCTAGTGTTACTGGCCTTTTACGGAGAAGTCGTCTAAGCTACACTGTCATATTTGAACTAGATAAATACGTTGTCATCTGAGTGTCCTGGACCCGAACCCTTGCGCTTACACCGGCTAACCTTCGAGGGCTAAGCTCGATGTTACTACACTAGACTTCATATACTAGAACCATCCACAAAACGACTCTGTCCACGAGTCACCATAGAACAGACTCTAACACGCGTCAAAACAACTACTAGCGGCTAACTTGAGCCCGGCTAACCTCGATGGCTTCATGGCAACCGCCACCTCGACGTCGACCTTCACGGTAACGTCGAGTTAGCCCTCGACGTGTCACAGGACAGACTCTGCCGTGGCCACTACGGACCGATCTTGACCCAGAGGGACCGCGGCACAAACCCCTTATGGACCGCCAAACGAGATAAACAGAAGCGCATGATAGAGAACCGAGGACCATCTTATCACGTACACAACACACACATATAATACATCATAAGTCTGAGATTAACCCGAATCGACAGGCACACTGAGCGACACGCACAGACGGGGACCACTTCATCGTCTCCTTGCTTGACCCGCAGCCAGCCTAATAGGGGACACCCTCATGTTGGCGCTAAGTCCTACTCTATACACACTGAGTCTCGTAGGAAAAATCGTTGTCCACAAGACGATCAGCATTCTTCCTCGTCTCCGCCGCCTTCAGGTTATAACTGTTAGTCTATGTCTCACAAGTTAATTCACATTTATAGCTATCAAAATGCCTGGTGTCGACCCCTCCGCAGAAATCATACGCAGCGCGCCAATACACCCCCCTTCTCGAACGACTCCCTCGTTCAACACTCCGCCTCCCCGAAGAGTCTATCGCTGCTACTCCTCGACCTACGACTACCGTTATCAATGTGCTGCAAGATAACCACTACCGACTGCGGCTCATCCTCCCTGCCTCTGGTACAGTGCTCCGCGTCCGCCATGCTGCTGCCCCCAACTCTCCGGCGTCGCTTCCGTCTCAGCCCTCTGGCGCGGACATGAGGCTCCCAAATTCTGCACATCCGTCGCTCCCCTTCTTAGTTGTCCAGACAGTTCCATTTCTCCCGATTGTCGACTCCTGGTCGACTCTCGCTGTAACAACCAGCGAAATACCCAGCCAGCGCATGTGGGCCTCCCTTCCCTTCTAAACACTGAAGGGAACAGCATAGGAGACAGACAGGAAGTAAACGCTGAAGGGAACAGCATAGAAGACAGACAGGAAGTAAACACTTGAAGGTGACCTATCATGCAAAATGCACTTTTGTACGTCTTTTATACATGAATATGTGTCCCCTGTGTTCCAGGGAACTCACCAAGTGTCAGAAAACACAACCCTCTCTATTTTCCTCCATACCCAAATCTCTAAAAAAGGGGCCGCAACGGATCTGATACAGACTGATCCAGATTTGAACACTTTTATGTCGTCACAGAAGTTGCGCTACGGCTATTGGGCCAACTCCACCAATCAGGAGGAGACAGCCACGGACATTGCCGCCTGTTGAAACCTGCGCGCTCAAGGCGTTCGACGCCTGCAACTCAACTGTCGTAGTCCACAAAGTCCTTTGGAACCACTTATTCTTATGTAACCTATGTACATGACTATGCGTCCGACTAGCTCAAAAAGACATTGATAGTTCAGAACAGTTGTAAAAGATAAGGTAATTGCTCAGAAACGTGACGTCTGAGGTATGACACAAGCGACGAATCACAAATGAAAGGCGCCAGACCAGAGATACGACGATAGGGTGAAGTCGCAGAATGAAGGACAGACAGAGGATACGGACAGGGAAGTCACAAATACAAGGACAGACACGACGGATACGACGGACAAGGGAATTTCACCTGGTTAGTACGCACTATAAGTCTAATTATATCACAACCTGGTATATGGATCATCCAAGTTATATACCTACGTTATATACGTCTCATACGTTAACCGTAACCGTATAAATATCTGAAAAGTACAAAAGTTTTATCGCGTTTCACCTGTCTAGTAACGGTAAAATCGTAAGAGTAAAAGCGAGTTAAATGTTGACGACGAAAGTACGAGCCGCCTAAGTCACTCTTTGTCA